TATTTCGCCGGCAGATTCGCCCGCGAGGCAGATTTCGCTGGTTACGTCACCGGATAACATAGTTCGGAGCGTGTCGAATACATGAATATTTGTCGACCACGCTGGCCAGAATTCAAAAATTCATGTTCCGTTAAAGTATCGAATATTGTCCGCGGAAATGTTTCATAACATTAATGCGAACGTTGCGCGCGGCGTCGTTCATTACCCGCACAGGAAATACATGTAAATAATGGTAAAACGAATTTCGTGTTTGAAAAGGCTGCGAAATGTAAATGATGTTCCGCGCCATGTAAATGTTTAATATTTTACTTCGGTTCAATGCAATGTTCGATATTCGTCGAACAGACGAATCGTTCATGATCCGTGTAATGATTAGCTTGGGGATCTTCGTGGAGAATAAAAATTGTTTGCGCAACGAACAGTTCAATTTTGACAAAGTAAAGTATAAAATATTACGACATTCATTCTTCTCGATCGTAATATATCGTTTTTACCTCATGATTTCTGTTTTAAACTTGTCAGAGTTTAGTAATCGCGTTACAAAGTTCGATAGAATGCAACGCAGCTGTTTTATGCAGACATCTTCTCCGTATAAATCATGCAACAGTGAAGGATAGAGTAATTCGTAAAAATCATGGAAGATAGAATGCTCGCATAATGAAAACTTGAAATCGAAATATCCCGAAAACAACACATTTCCTCGAAAAATATTAAGCACAAAAATTACTCGATTTCAAGGGAGAAATTCAACTATTTTATTTATTTATTTTTATTCATCGCCTTGAAGGGTATTTGGAGGGTAACTTCGTTTCTTGAAATAGAAACCTATATTTCTATTTACAGACATTTATTCTACGCGAAAAGAGAATAAACTTTTGTATGAAATATTTTTCAATCAGATTTTATCTTAGATGGATGTCTAATAAAATGAGAAACGTGTTTATTTATGAAACTTAAATACATATAAAGGTGTAGTGAAAAAAGTGTAATTGTTATTGATTTATCATAAAATTTATCATAAAAAGAATAAACAAGTTTCATAAGTAAACAAATTTTTGATTTTCGAGCGTGATCGAGTAATTCTCGTGTTTGACAGTTTCCCCAAAATTTATGAAATACTTCTTAATGTTCATGTCGCTGTGTAATGTTAATATCCGTTGATTAAAATTCCTCTGAAAAATAGTTGTTAACTTATATTAAATTTTTCTCGGCGGATTATTTTGTGCGTAAACTGTTCGCTGAGATGGTCGTGGCCGCAAAAATTTCATCGATATCTGATATTACAATGGAGGGCACATGCTATAGTCAACTACATACTGAGTTGATACCTGCATTCATTAAAGCGTGCACAATTTTATCCTCATAATTCGAGCAACGATTGCTAGAGGCAGGCTTATTACGCAGAATCGCTTATCAAGCAAATTAACAGTCCCATGCAGTTGTTATTTGACAATTAACGCGACTTCTCAACAAGCAATTTCCTCGATATCATTATTTTGTGATAATATCTTTGTAATGATTTCTTTAGAATTCATGCCTCTTAGTTTTTCGAAGTGATAGAATGACGTAGTTAAAAGCTTGACTAATGCAGTTATTTATACAGCAACAAGATTGAAAAATATTTGAACACATAATAATTTCATGTAGCCCACGAAATACGTCTCTAAGATTTTTTGTAACTATTCGAGACAGAGTACAAAATTAATTAGTAAATAAAATAAAATTAGTAATAAAAATGAGTAATAAAATAAAATAAAATTAGTAATGAAATTAGTAATAAAATAAAATAAATTATTTATCAAAAATCAGCTGATGAATATCTCGATAAATAGTAATTTTTGAACCCTTGCAATAATCTTTTGTTCTCTATTTAATAATAGACTTTCGAATGGCATGATTAAATCTTGCGCGTTATGTATAAAAACACTCAAGATGACTTCAATAAAATAGGATAACAGCAGAACATTAATTGTTGCCACGTATGTTCCTCCTTATACCAAACAATTTTACTTCGAAACATTTTTATATACAATATGTACTTTACAAGAAAAATTCAGATGAAAGAGTTGAATGACTCACCCTGTATAACGCAGCTTAACACTAGAACTACCGAGCCCGAAGCGTGACTAATGCATACTGTTTTATAAGAACGACAAAATTGGATTTATTTAAAGTTTCCACGATTTTTAGTATAATATGCGCTTCAATAAAGAAATTCGTATAAAAATTTCTGACACAAACATTTTTATGGTATCAGAAATTGTAAAAGAAAAAAATCAGAAACCAGTTATTTTGGCTGATTTGGTAATTCCAGCGCTAATATTCGATTTCTCAGCCATGCTCCATATGGATTTAATAACCGTTTCACAAAGTTTTAGTTTATTGTTGATACTTAGTTCTGAGTGGTACGAAGCAAAGTACCGCGCCGCTTATTTATCGATGGCTTCGTCACAATCAAATATTGACGAACGCTTGACACACACTATACTTTTCGAGAGCTTTTAAGTATTTGCCAGCGTTTCCCGACAAATCCTCGCGCCATGGAAATTGCCTCGTTTGAAGGTAGATAAAGGGAGGTGTTCGTGGAGACGGCACAATGGCGAAACAATACCACAAGTTATTAACACGAAACGGGGGAAAAAGGTAGCCGCGTTCGAGGCAGTCTTTGTCAAGACTTTGTCTCCGATTCTCACTCCGGGGAGAGGATGAAAGCATGGCAACCGGAGCAGCGTCGCTGGCGAATTCTTTTTCTGAACCGACGCGTGGCACCAGCCGGAAAACATTCGCGGGCCGATAATTGCGATCGAATACCGTTGACAACGGTGCACGGTCGGCGTTCGCGGAAACATATTTCTCAAAATGATCCCCGGCTTTTAACGCGCCGGGTATTTTCGAGCCTCGGCTGGCCACATAACAGCCGCGCTGATTAAAAATATCTCATCAACGGGAAACACATGAACGCCGAGAATTAAGCTCCTTGTGCGTTTCATGTTACGATATTAATTAAAACATCCTTACACGGTATCAGGTGATCGGCCCAATGAATGGGCACCGTATCATATATGAAAAAATACCGTTTCCACATCGAAATTTATACAGTTGTTTTATCGTAATCCTGCGGCCTGCGAATGTCGTGCTTTTGCTTGCGTTTTATTTCGCATATCATTTGTTAATTAACGGTTGTGTTCTTGACGTTCTATACTCTATACGTTCAAGATACCTGAAACTAGATATTATACTCTATACTATACTGCTATATTATACTTGGAATTAGAGTTGCGCTAATACGATCGCATTGAATTAATGTTGAATGCAATTAAATGGAATGTAGTTAAATTGGATGTAGTTAAATTTGATGCAGTCAAATTGAATTGAATGTAACAACATCGTAATTGAACTGCGCGATTTAACTATATGAAATGTAACTGATACACCGTCAAGGGCATTAGATTTTACATTTTAAGAAACAAATAATGTGAGCGACGCGAGAATTCGAAACTCGAAATATTGGGTTGGCAACTAAGTAATTGCTGATTTGTTCAATGAAATAAAAATTCTTTTTTACTTGGAATGAAGTTCAATCTGTAATGTATTTTCCATTTTGTTCGATGACCTTTTGCCATCTCTCTGACAACTTGAAAATTCCACGCTCGTAGAAAGTCTGATTCTTTTCGGCCAAAAACTGAGTTAAGTGAGATTTTACAGCGTCATCATTAAAAGTTTTACCACGAAGGGAGTTGTCCAGGGATCGAAATAAGTGGTGATCCGATGGCGCGAGATCAGGGCTATATGGTGGGAGTAACATCAATTCCCAACCAATATCCATCAATTTTTGCCGAGTGGACAAAGACGTGTGCGGCCTAGCATTGTCCTGCTGGAAAATGACACCTTTACGATTGACCAATTCTGGTCGCTTTTCCTTGACCGCTGCATTCAATTTGTCCAGTTGCTAACATTCACGGATAATAAAAAATAACATAATAATAATAATAATAATTTTATAATATAACATTTACGGATATCATAAAAATGGGAGTGAGAGATATCTATAACTGAAATCGGCAATTACTTAGTTGCCAACCCAATATATCTGTTAGAACCACGGATAAATCGCGATTTAAATCCGATGGACTGACGGAAGAGTAACTTTAAAGAATATAAAAAATTATGAAATTTTGCGAAGGTATATTTAAGCATCTCAGTTACAGCAAAATTTGATTTACTGAAATGTTGAAGTAAGAGTCAAACTGTGTCATGAAATAAAAATAATTTGTTCATATTATTTGACCATATTATCGAAATTAGAATTTTAGTCGCAGTTCTACGCGATTTTATTTCATCATATATTTCACGTATCTCGTATATCTCATGAAACACTCTAGTACCCAGGAAATTTGTTTCTACCCTGGTATCTCACATGGATTCGATTGAAATCACTAGCTCTAATTTATATGCAACATTATTTACGTAATAAAACGATGAACGTGTAATCTCGCTGTACAACGACGTTCTATCGTCCGAACATTCGTATCTCAGTTTAATTCGGGCAATCGTGGTTCACGGTACACGGTTAACGGCGGCAACGTGTTCGTATAAAGGAAAATAATAAGCTGGAAGGCAACCGTTCGCGAGGAGATATTAAACGATCGGAAATTAACGCGGCAGTAAACGTCATAAAGAAACCGCGGCCGCCATTTCTGCTGCCCCCCTGTCCCCACCCCCTCGGTGACCCAGTTTTGTTATTACGAGGAAGAAAAATCGCGGATATTTGGCAAGGGTATCTATCCGGACAGCGCGGCGAGTGTATTAAAGCGGATTAATGTACCCGCTCGATGTTTTAATTGTTTTCTCTGTACGGCGCGGGTCCGATGTTTTCAATCCTTTTATTTTCCCGATAAATATTCGCCGAACGGAGTCTCGTCGACGCCGCAAATATTTTTTATTGTTCCCCGGCGAACATATTGTTCTCATGCTCCCTGTTCCGCTCTTTCCGATTGCAGGATGCAGGGACGACACGGTTCCACTTGCACCGGTTAAAATGAATCGCAGGGAGGACCCGCTGTTGCGGCAGCATCGCAACCGCTTGCTGCAATTAGCCGAGGCGACAAATATCAAGCCCGGCCGTGGAAGCGGGAAGAGACGGGGTCAGAGGCAGTCCCATGGCTTTGGACCGAGGTCAGTATGCCAAATCGTTTATGGGGAGGGGGATGGGCGACCTTGAGACCCTAGGCGAATACGGAAGTTTCGTATGTTTTTAGCAGCACGGTCGAACGTTGATTATCCGGAGTAGATGCACCGATTGTGGCCACGTTAAGGTTTTATATGAATTTTAACGCAAATATTTGTAGGGTTAAAATATTCGTAACTAGACTGCGGATCTTGATGCTTTTGTGGCATGTACGGAATTCTCAAATGCCAGAAAACAGTGGCCCATAAAAGTATTCGTAAAATACAGATTTAAACTGCAGATTTCTTCCAGATAAAAGTTAAAAAAACAAGAGTTTTTTATTTTTTTTTTGTCATTCCAAGTAATAGCAGAATTTAAGAAAAGCATTTTGGTCATCGTCTAGTAGTCATGCCTCCTCCTTAGTTTTTCGAAGTGATAGAATGACGTAGTTAAAAACTTGACTAATGCAGTTATTTATACAGCAACAAGATTGAAGAATATTTGAACACATAATAATTTCATGTAGCCCACGAAATACGTCTCTAAGAGTTTTTGTAACTATTCGAGACAGAGTACAAAAAAAATTAATTAGTAAGTGATAATAAAATAAAATAAGTTATTTATCAAAAATCAACTAATGAATATCTCAATAAATAGTAATTTTTTAACCCTTGCAATAATCTTTTGTTCTCTATTTAATAATAGACTTTCGAATGGCATAATTAAAACACAGATTCAAACTGCAGATTTCTTCCAGATATAAAGGTTAAAAAAACAAGAGTTTTTTATTTTTTTTTGTCATTCCAAGTAATAGCGAAATTTAAGAAAAGCATTTTGGTCATCGTCTAGTAGACTAGTCCCGCTATCATCTAAAAAAAATTCAAGTCAATTAGTTCAGTTTTGAAAACTTTATTGCGTTTTAAAAGGTGTACGAACATTTTTGTGGGCCACTATATATGTTAACAGAGTCTAACAGCAGTTTGATTTTCCTTTTACAATGAGCAATCTTTTCGTCGACGAAGTAAACGTTTCTTCAACTCGAATTTTTGTAACCTAACCTAACCTATAAATATCTGCAATCTATTATACTTATAACACATAAGAAATGTGCAAGTTTTAGTAGATTATTTAAGACCTTTAATTTTTGTATTTAACTTGCAATCGAGTACCGGAATGATTAAAGAATGATCACAATAGAAAAATAGTAAAATACGCATTTTTTACAGTTTTTACAAAACAGTTCTGGCCACCTGTAAAATTTAATATTGCACATATTTATAAATTTATAGTAAGAAAGGATATAAATATTTAAAATGCAATATAATTTTTAAAAAATTTCGCTTTTTTATATTTTACTTTATGCTATTTGAAAATCTTAACGTTACTACATATAATGATATATAATGATAACGTAAAAATAGTTTTACTTTACTTACATTTTCTGCATCGTTCCTTTTTATATTTTTCTTGTTACTTTCATTCTTTGTATTTTCCCTTTCTTCCAGTTTCTTTTTTCGTTTCCAACTTCAGCACAACTTTTTTCCTTAGCGTACTCATGATATAATTAAATAATATGATGACTTCTACAACGAAGACAAGAGATTGGGTACGGAGGGAATTTTTCAAGCAAGAATCATGCGTGTACTAAAATATAAACATTGTTTCATAGTCTTCATTTTTATCCAATATCAGTTATTTCATTGTGAAATGCAGGCTAGAATTGAACGAGTACAAAATGTTCGTCCCATCTTATTAAATATTTCAATTTACTCGATCCAATTTCATTAATCCGGATTCCGTTAATCCAGCTCATTTATTTGATCATTTTATTCTGTCGTAAATAAATTCTTCAGCCTTTTCACTCGAGGACATTTCGAACATAGAAAAAAAATCATTTTACGCCAAAAACTTAATAATTTCACTTAACTTAAAACGTTCCACGAGGGAAAGTACAGTCGCGCACAATTATTCACGTTCATTAAATTGGTAAAAATTTTCATTAATGTGAAAATTACGGTACGGCAATGTTTAATGCTCTTCGCAGTCGTCATTTGCGCGCAAAGAGCTGAAGATAGTAATTAGGTTAATCCGCGTAAGAACGTGAAAAAATTGTGCAACAGAAATTATGATACTTCCAGCTCGGCGAGCAACGCTTCAAATTCAATGGCCAGAACTATTGTAATTCCTCTCCACTCCATTCAATTCGCGTCGACTCGAACTGTACAAAGTGCGACGAATAAACACATCATAACGTAAAACGAAATTCCGAATACAGCATAATTTCGCGCTCTATGAAAAATTCATGCTCCGAGGCATCTCCGCGTTTGCGCGCGCGTGTGTTGTGTATGGATGTCGAAATAAGTCATAAAAATGGGCAGAACAATTTACCGGTAGGATTTCTCCATTCTTGAGAATTTGCCAAGCATTTCTGCAATGGAATATGACTCTCGTAACGTGTCTGGTCATTACTTACTGTTTCTACTTGTGCAGGCGAGTGGTAACCGGGCTGCGGATCTTTATGCGCTGTCCGCGCTGAAAAATCTTGGAAAATTCGTCGATCCGGCATCGAAAGTTCTTGATAAAAATGTCAATTTGCATGAAGTTCCGCAAGCTCTTAATAATTCGCCAACACCGGTCGTCCGAGTGGAAGGCGGTAAGTAACGATCAGCCGCGACTGCCAAATTTTAGGAGCCGAGTATCTCTTTGACCATTGATCACGCGGGGAAATATCATGCTGTGTTTTCCCGAAATATCACCCCGTTCGATTTACGGTGGTGAACATAAATTCGAGACGATGAATTTTCGTTTCAGTTACACGCGTATTGTATAACTATTTATTTAGTTCGTTCCGTTCCGGAATCTGCATGCTTCGCTCTCTTAACAGCCGGTATACAAAGCACTGAATGCAACTATTTTATATTACCTTACAAATGTAACAATAATAGGTTCATTCGAAGTTTTAACGATTTTCGTTGTGATATTAAATAGATAAATAAACGAAATAAAATTAAGTAACTGGATAATTGGATAATTTTATATTTCAATAATTGATTTTCTTATTGAATAAATTTCTCATAAATATATTATTGCACTTGTACTAATTAGACTGCGGATTTTTATGCGACATTTTTTTCTTGTCGCAATTATTTGATGAAGCTGCAAATAATGTAATAGTATTTTAAAATTCTTTAAACGTTTTTACTGTTTTGATCGACTCGTTTTTATCAAAAAGGCATAAAATTCGCAGTCTAGTAGTCGCGACATATTTTCGCGACTGCTGATTTTATGCATTTCTGACTAAAATACGTAGATCTAATGCAAAATCGCAAACGATTGGAAACCTTTTAAACAATTCGGAGCTATTATTGTATTAGTATCAATTCATTAAAATTATTAAGAAAAGAAGTAAATGTTTACGTAGCTTCTGCATCATGCAATTAACAAAGACAACTTTCATTTTGCATAAAGATCCGCAGTCTGATCGTAATAATCGCCAGAATTTTGTAATCGAATGTTAAGGAAGTATTAATGGAATGTAAGATAAATAGAAATTAAATAACGTCTACACATTTTTTCGCCTGAAACATGTCTAATGGAGTGAAATCTTATGTTTTATCATTATCATTTATCATTAAGTCTGTGTTTACAATCTTTTACTTATTTATTTATTTATTCTTTATATGGATGGAAGACCCATTAGTGCACAACATAGAAAGATATCTATTTTATAACAATGCTTATAATTTCAACAGAATTTTCTATAAAACGTCCTACGCGCACAATGTTCGCAACAAATTCATGGAAAATAACACCTCTTAACCGATAGGTTTAGTATTAAAGTACTTGCTCCAGTAATGTAATTTCTTCAATGAATGCTTCCGAATATCGTCTTTAGAATTTTGCAATCGCAGTGCGCACGTCACTAATTTCTTCCTTTCTTTTCGTCTTAATCTCTTGTCGATTGCCGTACGAAAGCGTGTTTCATCTTCGAGCATTTTTCATTTATCGCCGAACGACGGCCGCTTTAGCCCGCGCGTGCAATTTCCATATGATTTTCATAAAATTGATTTCGTGCTAAATTAAAAGCACCGCGGAGCCGCAGCTTGCGCGGTACCGAGAACTTTTGCCCCTCGTTTTCTCCGCTTTGTCCCCTTTCGCCGGGACCATAAATGTTATTTACGTGTTACTCGACGATCGAGGATATTACAAAAAAATGGCGCAACGCGCAGCCACAAACACAGACGCATACACGCGCACACATATACACACGGACGTAGAGGCGAAACGAGAAATATCTCCGTGTATCACGTATCTCCTTTGTCGCTCGCGCTTATTCGTCTTCGTTAGTGTCCCGGCCGGAATAGATCCCAGTGCGGTCTGTTGTCGACATTTTTATTACCGGCCGACCGTTTCCTCCTTTTTTAATCGCCTTTGACGGATCGCGGCGGGAAAGGACAGGGAATCTCGGGCGAAAACCACCGGGAGACAGTAAGCTGTCCCGTGGCTTTCGCCGGGCTTGCATAATTAACCCTTTTAAACTGACATTACGCGTGTCGACGTGCGCGCGACGCTGCATTCGCCGTGCGTTCCACTGATTCTTCTTCCGCGCCCTTCTTTGTCCCTTCTTGTCTATTGTTCCTCCGAAATTTACTCTGCGCTTTTTCACCTCGCGTCCAACCCTTTTCAACGTCCTTTGACGAAAATTCTGTTCGTGCCAGAGGATTCTTCGCGTGTCCTCGATAAACGCTCGCGGCTCGCTGGGAAATTGATTTTCATTCGTTCGGATCGTTATTTGTTAGGGTCGTTGTTTATTACGTTGGTCGGTCGAATTATTTCTAGGACAGTTTTGCACAGTAAACAGTGCAGTAAACAGTACATCAAACAGCATAATAAAGGGTACGATAAACAGTACATGAAACGGTACAATAAACAGAATAATAAAGAGTACAATAAAGAGTACAATATAGAGTACAGTAAATAGTACAATAAATAGTGCAATAAACAGTACAATATACAGTACAGTACTATAATAAACAGTACAGTGTTTTAGTACAGTGAACATGTTACGTTATAACTAAGATAAATATTTACGAAGTTAGAGATTCGGCAACAATGCATCGAACGATGTATCAAATTTTAAACAGTTTATTTTATGGATTTAGCAAAGTTTGGGGAACAATGTTCATCATGCATATTCACAAAATGCATTCTACGCGGCATGATTTTTTGAAATATTTTTACGGGGATTTCCGTTGTATCGGTTCGTTCGGAAAATAATTTCCCGACCTTTAGAAAATAAGGAACAACCTTTTGATATTTAGGCCACCTTCTTCGTCTTTGTTGTAACTTTGAAATCGTGATAGAAGTCCTATATTTTTTCGACAAAATATTACTTTCCTATTAGCCTCCTTTGTTTCGTATCCTAGCAATACATTTAAGACGGGTGATTATAAAAAAAGATAAGGATTTAGTATATTTAATTTCGATCAGAATTAATTTCGTACAGAATGTATTTATTATGGAAACGGGTTTGTGCACAAAAATGTTCAAGTTTAATAGCGTTATGGTATTTCGGAATTGCCGAAACGGCGGGAACTTTCGGGGACGATCCAATAGTTGCAAATGGGGGTAGTACAGGGGCATCGTATCGACAGGGCGAATTGGCTGAAAAAGAAATTGCTGGTTGGACTGTTTCAGTAATGGAGGACCGAGCGCCGGTAGCCGCGTGACCCTGCAGGATATCGTCCGAAGCGATCCTGGATACACGCCAAACATCGAGCATTTAGTTTTTCAGGAGCGCAAGAGCAGCAATCCAAATTTGGCGAAAACGGCCGACGAATCTCCACCGAGTAAATCCAAATCGAACGCTACCAGCTCGGGGAGATCCAGGCTCGCCGAGGTCTTCTCCAGACATTACTCCAGAGGGTCCTCGCAGGACTCCACTGTCACGTCCAGGAAAAATCATTTGAATGTAAGTAATTCCGTCGGAACAGCATGCGCCTACACGTATACGTATGTTAGCTACTTGGACAAGTTTCGGCCGTTTACTAACAGGTGTCGGAACTGGTAACACTTGCGTGCGATTGGATACGGTGTAGAATGTATCTGATAGGACTATAAACAAGCTTTCAGACTTTGTTTATAAGTAGGCTATAATTATATATATTATATATATTATAGCTTTATAATAGTTTATAATACATATTAGAAAGAATACGTTTTAATTTTGTCTGTGTTACCGACAACTGGTTTAAGGAGTTTTGATTTTCTGTGAACAATCTTTTGTCAATCACGAAATTCAACGTTTAAAATGTGATTTTTATGCGAAATAAAAATTGTCTGCAGAAGTTGCAAGAAGCAGAAACTAAATAACAGATTCAGTGATACAGTGATATTTTACAATTTTTGTAATCCTTCTATTATGTATTATATAATAGAATATATATAATAGAATATTATATAAATAGAATAGAATAATATTATATAAATTGAATATAATAGAATATTATATAAATTATATATATATATTATATAATAGAAGGATTAAAAGAATTTTAAATTATCACGGTATCACTGAATTTGTTATTTAGTTTCTATTTCTTGCAATTGCTGCAGACAATTTTTATTTTGCATAAAAATCATATTGTAAACGTTGAATTTCGTGATTGTCAACAAATTTTCTCTGAAAGTGTGAAAATCTAGAAGTCAAAGTCTGAAACATATATATATATATATAAATAATAATATATATATTTATTTATTTATTTCTATTTTTCATAAAAGCTAATTGGAAATGTTGAATTTCGCGATGACAAAATTTTTGTATACAAACTAAAAACTCTCTAAATCAACTGTCGAAAATATCAACAAAATGACAACGTATTCTTTCTTTCAATAATTTTCTTTCTAATGCATTCACATTTTTGTATTTCATCCAATCATCTTTGTCATAAACGCATGAAGATAACTTCAATTATCCGCAATCCGTAATTGAATTACTTAGTATTTTCTAATTGTACTCCCATTGAATTACGAATTACTTTTTGATTTCATTGAATCGTCATCTAAATTATACGAATCACAATATACCTGAATTACGTTGTAATCACAATTCCTTAAATAATTCGATTGCGATACTGCAGAGCTCTGTCCGTGTTTCATATTCAATGTCTCGATATTGGAACCGGCATTTCAAATGGACAGGAAACACGGGGATATGGAACACGGGGACGCGGTACAGAAACGGTGTTCCATAATAGATACGCGCTCGCACTTTACTATTTTATTCGCACTATTTTCTATTCATATTAAATAAATATTTCAGAGTTTATTGCGTTCTCTAGAAACGTCGACGTATCGAACGATAGTAGGAGCATTCGTCCGTAACGCATTTTAGTTTTAATAAAGCCGATAATGATCTTCTACCGTTTTGAAAAGCGTTCCGTATTAGGTACTTTTACCTTATCACCGTGGCGACCTACATATTTCCCAGCCGATTTCTATCCTCCGGGCGCGAGGTGCCGGCAATGTTTCCCCGTTCGGTAAACAACCGACCCGCCGAAAGAAATCCGTCTGCAGTTAATGAAATCGTGTAGCTGCAACCGCCGCGATTTCTCATACTTCTTATCAACGGCGCCGGCGCGGCGTCGCGTCGCGTCCATCCCGGGCACGGCAATTAATCGCCGGGATCTCTGATCGGCACTTCAAAGTAACGCGAGGCGAGGTGAGGCGCGGCTCTCTCGATCCTCGATCCTCGGTCCTCGATCCCCGACAGATAGCCGCGGCGACGCGACGGGTTCTTCACCGCGCCGCGACCAAAATAAAAATACTTTCATCGAAGGAGTTGCGCAGCCAGTCTCTCGCGCCTCGCCCGTATTTGGAAGTAGAAACAGCCGCTCTCGGGCTGGCTCTTGCTCGTGCACGGCGAGCTTAGCTCGTCCCGTGTCACGCTCGACACAACTCTTTCAAGAATACCTTTACGCAATCGGCTCGGCCTTTGCGGACAACGCGTCGCGTAAACAATATACAGCGGCTCCAGAAAGTCTACGCGAGGTTTCCGACTTTCCACGAATCAGACATTTTTAACACGTTCCGTGCCGAGCTTTTTTTACTCGAATCTTCACGCTTTGATATTTTACTAAAACTTGATGTATTACGTGCAATTATTAATTCTCGTACACATAACAACGTAACAAAAACTTATCAACGCCCATTCTTGCGGTGGAAATTGATTCTTCGGTTCTAAATTTCTTGTAAACAATTTGTTCAGTTCACTAAGTAAACATGCAAGCGTGTACCATCGATGGTACANATTATCCGCAATCCGTAATTGAATTACTTAGTATTTTCTAATTGTACTCCCATTGAATTACGAATTACTTTTTGATTTCATTGAATCGTCATCTAAATTATACGAATCACAATATACCTGAATTACGTTGTAATCACAATTCCTTAAATAATTCGATTGCGATACTGCAGAGCTCTGTCCGTGTTTCATATTCAATGTCTCGATATTGGAACCGGCATTTCAAATGGACAGGAAACACGGGGATATGGAACACGGGGACGCGGTACAGAAACGGTGTTCCATAATAGATACGCGCTCGCACTTTACTATTTTATTCGCACTATTTTCTATTCATATTAAATAAATATTTCAGAGTTTATTGCGTTCTCTAGAAACGTCGACGTATCGAACGATAGTAGGAGCATTCGTCCGTAACGCATTTTAGTTTTAATAAAGCCGATAATGATCTTCTACCGTTTTGAAAAGCGTTCCGTATTAGGTACTTTTACCTTATCACCGTGGCGACCTACATATTTCCCAGCCGATTTCTATCCTCCGGGCGCGAGGTGCCGGCAATGTTTCCCCGTTCGGTAAACAACCGACCCGCCGAAAGAAATCCGTCTGCAGTTAATGAAATCGTGTAGCTGCAACCGCCGCGATTTCTCATACTTCTTATCAACGGCGCCGGCGCGGCGTCGCGTCGCGTCCATCCCGGGCACGGCAATTAATCGCCGGGATCTCTGATCGGCACTTCAAAGTAACGCGAGGCGAGGTGAGGCGCGGCTCTCTCGATCCTCGATCCTCGGTCCTCGATCCCCGACAGATAGCCGCGGCGACGCGACGGGTTCTTCACCGCGCCGCGACCAAAATAAAAATACTTTCATCGAAGGAGTTGCGCAGCCAGTCTCTCGCGCCTCGCCCGTATTTGGAAGTAGAAACAGCCGCTCTCGGGCTGGCTCTTGCTCGTGCACGGCGAGCTTAGCTCGTCCCGTGTCACGCTCGACACAACTCTTTCAAGAATACCTTTACGCAATCGGCTCGGCCTTTGCGGACAACGCGTCGCGTAAACAATATACAGCGGCTCCAGAAAGTCTACGCGAGGTTTCCGACTTTCCACGAATCAGACATTTTTAACACGTTCCGTGCCGAGCTTTTTTTACTCGAATCTTCACGCTTTGATATTTTACTAAAACTTGATGTATTACGTGCAATTATTAATTCTCGTACACATAACAACGTAACAAAAACTTATCAACGCCCATTCTTGCGGTGGAAATTGATTCTTCGGTTCTAAATTTCTTGTAAACAATTTGTTCAGTTCACTAAGTAAACATGCAAGCGTGTACCATCGATGGTACACGTGGCACGGAACGTGTTAACGCAATACTGACATTAACGCGTTTGAACTGATCGACGTGTGTTGGTGTATGACGGTGATAAGTATATCGCGGAATTTTATGCAAAATACAAATTGTCCATGTTAACTCCAAGGAATAGAGACTAAATAGCAAGTTTTTTCTTTCTTTAATTATTTTGGCAGCTTAGAAAGTATACGTTGCGTTTTTAAATTCTTTTAATCTTGCTGCTATTTTAAATTGCTACTCAATTTTGTCTTGAATGCATAAAATATGCAGTTTTAATTATAATACTGAATTTACTTAGACTTTTCGCCATTTGCAATCGAGTCGTGAAGTATGTTGACATATCTTGAAACGCAGTCATTTTTATTAAATTGGACTAAATAATTTCAATTTTTTTTTAGACGATAGGAGAACTAGTTTATTGTAAAATGACTAAAATATCTTCTTTTTTATTTTGCTATTACCTGGAAGGACAGCAAAAATTTTTAGAACTCTCGTTTTTAACTTTTTTATCTGTCATTTTCGTTGTCTATAATGAAAATATAAAAACTGTATTTCATAGATCTCGGTAACAATAATACAAACAATTGAAGATAGCAAGATCTCGAGAGTTCTTGCAGTTATCGGTTTCAATCGATTGCAATATCTGAAAACAATTGTTTAGATAATAATATTCCAAGCAAATTTAGATTGCTTGGTGCAATTATAATAAAGTTATTTCATTTTAAAAAATGTGGGAAAATTTACTAATCCACACAGTATATATCTCACCAGTATATATATCACAGTATATATCTTCAATTCTCTCAAAAGCGTGTTAAGAAAAAATTGACACTGGATTGTGTGAGCAGTTTAAATGTCCACAATTCCTCAAAAGTATCACCTAACTTTGACTGCAGTGGCAAATGCAAAATTTGTTTGTTCGCCGGTCAGCGTATGCAATTTAATTTGACTGCTCTTTCGGTAATTCTATTTAACTAGAGTAATCGAAACACCGAATTTTGTTTACTTGGTACTTTAATTAACTGTAACTGTATCGTACACAAATTTGACTAAAACATAGTCAAATGAAATGGGTCAAACATCATGTTTGTGAACGCTTTCGTGAATTACTTTGTGCAGTCTCTATTACTCTTTTCTCTTCGGCGCTGCGTTATGATTAGACTGCTGATTTCATACATTTCTGACAACAATACGTAGATCAAATGCAAAATTCAAACAATTCGAAATTATTACTGTATTACTGTTAAATCATTAAATTATCAAGAGAAGAAGTAAATGTCTATGTTGTGTTCCTGCATCATGCAGTTGATAAAGGCA